ATTTTAATATTCTTAAATAACCATAAAAATCTCATCTCTAAATTTTCATTTTTTGATCTTTCAAATTTTAAAAATTTCATTTTAGTCACTAAATTGTACTATTTCACTTTATAGTGAAATTTTCATCAAATTCCACCAATCCAACTTAAATTCTACTAATTAAATATGCATATAATTTTTCTAACTCAAAATTACCTTCCTTCAAATTTTTATAAAATTCCGATTTGATCCGATTATCCGATTTCAATACCGAGCTTTATCGTTTTATAGCTTTTAATATAAATCCCATACCGAAAATATGATTCCCACGAAAATCCTTGTTTTAGACCAACTTATTCATTTCTGGGCTAAACTTTTTTTTTCAAAATTGTACTTTAATCATAAAACTTTCAAAACTTACATTTTAGTCACTAGACAAATTTTGGGATATTACAAGGCACTTGGAGGATCGACACATTTTGTACAATACATTTTTTTGTAATGTTTTTATCTTCCGAACTGTCTTCATTTTTGATGACATGTGTCTATATCTTGAAATAATTGTTTTACGAATTATAATGTTTTTGCTACTAATATTATATTTACTTTAATACTGATTATAAAATATTTTATTTTACTCTGTCACTTATAGTTTTATATTACTCGTTTTAGACTTTATCATTATTAACTATGTTATTAAATATGTTATTCATAATATGTTTTTAAAATATTAAAGAATGTTTTGGAAATTTCTATTGTAATTTGCTAGATCTAGTCGTAACGCATAGCATGGGTCTAGAGGTTACATTTAGTTAGTATCAGAGCTTTTGGTTTTTAAAGCTCGGATTGTGGATGAGTCTTAAATAAAAATACAGTTTTGAAATGTTTTACAAAATAAGTCATGAAGGCCATGTCACCAATTTTTTATGTGTTTAACTGTGTACGAGACTCCAAGTGCCAAATATAATCCTTGGTTTTATCCTTTTTGTAAAAAACTTGGGGTTTTCCAAGTTGAGTGCTAGGCGTGGTCGTCGACCTGATCGTGGGCGAGGTCGAGTAACTAGATCTATAGATCTGATAGACGAGACGCGTGTAGATTCCCCGTCTCTGGTAGATAATTTTGCATCTGCGAACCCAATGAATCTACCTCTACCCCTGGTATAGTTTGATTACTCCAGTTAGAGGAGTGACTATTTCTGAGTATGAGCCTACGATGGTAGTATTAGATGAAAATCTCGGTAGGTAGTTCCTTCAATTGATTCAGGGAGCGGTTCGAGCTGCTGGCGTCACACCCGAAGTCCCAATTTAAGATTAGACTCGCAGCGAAGTTATTTAAGAGTTGTCTCTATGTTAGACGTGAATACTCACACTTGGTGGGAGTTTGTGGTGAGCAGTGTTCCGGTCTATCGCTTGACCTGGGATTTCTTCAGAGAGTGTTTTAGGAGTTGTTTTCTAGGAGAGCCTTATTTGGATCAGAGACGACAATAATTTCAGGACCTAGTTCAAGGTGATATGACAGTTTATGAGTGTGAGATAGAGTTTATGAAGTTACTGAAGTATAGTTCTAGTCTGGTACCTACTGAGAGTGATAGGTGTCGAAAGTTTACTTAGGGACTTAGATACGAGCTGCGTCGTCATGTGGTTACTCATCAGGATGAGTTGTTTGATGATATAGTTGGGAGAGGGAAAGACACTGAGAAAATTGAGGCTTTTGCTCCTGATAGAGATAGGGTAGATCGAGAGCGATCTAGGAGACCTTCTGGTCAGATTGAGCCTTCTACACGCCCTGATAAGAGTACTTATACGGCTGCCCATCAGAGGAGTCATACTGGTTCGAGACCTGCATCACCTTCACCTCCATCAATTAGTCGAGCATATTCTTCAGGTTTCTCTCTGATTCTGAGTTGTGAGTATTGTGAAAACTGACACGGGGGAGTGTGACGTAAGAAGATGAGTACCTATTATCGTTGTGGATCTAATTAGCACTTTCTGAGAAATTTTCAGCATCCAACCTCTGTCGATCGAATACTTGATCAGACTCCTGCACATTCACATGTTTCTATTCATACTCCAACTAGAAGTCACAGTCAGGGAAGAACTTCTGGGTCTGTCTCTAGGACTGACAGTAGAGCCTGATCACGACAGAGTATAGGACCATTTATTTCTGATACTAGACATCATGCCCTAGTCTATTCTACCCGACGTTCATTGATCGAGTTAGCCGTGGACTTTTGAAGGTATATTTATTGTTATTTCTGTTACTTACCATGTATTTCTAATAACGCCCTTTTTATATTCGAGTTTCATATCTTAAGACCCTCAGATTTATGATTTAAGGCACCGATATCACCGTTTTCATTTCGAGTCTAGCGAGATTTTCCGTTATTGTCAATAGAGTAATTAGCCTTTGTCCTTTGAAGGAACCTTTAGAGACCTAGTTTTCAGTTTGACTCAAACGAATTTCGAGGATGAAATTCTTTTTATGGGGAAGAGAGTTGTCGCACTCCCAATTTTAATTTAAAACTTATTAAATTTAATTAATTGAATTTATGGACAAAATTATAAGTTTAGGGACTCAACTCTAAATTTCCCTATTGTTGGTCAGTAGAAAAAAATAGAAAATGATAAGAAAAATGATGGTTGAGCTGGTTTCAACCTGTGACCTTAGGGTATGAGTAACCATGCCTTAGCCATATAGGCTAGGCTCATATTGTGTTTTATTAAAATAATTTTTAATAGTATTTGGTTCAGATCATCATCTCGTTCGAGAACCATCTTCACCATTTTAGGAAAAAACCAAACCCCAAAAATAACCCCTAATTTTCCCCGACTCTAAGCCACCCCGTCATCTTCTATTGCCTTTCAGCCATCTCCAACTACCCATTCACCTCATCATCGCCGTCAACGGCTCTGGCATCCTCCCGCAACCCAACCTCGACCGTCGGCACAATAAAGTCGATCACCGTTCATCGAGAAAAAAATGAGAAAACCCGTTCGCGCTCTTCTTCGTCGATCTCTCCTCCGACTGACAGTGTACATCATCCTCTGTTCTAGTGAAGACGTCGTCTCAGCCCGATTTAAACCCCTCTGACCGATCGTCGAAAGGTGTCGTCGATCGTTGTGGAGAACCGTTCGAAATTCATCGGAGGAACCTAGGTCTTGCTTCATTCTTCCTCGATTTCTGTCGTCCTAGTCACTGGTCTATCACACCGCCACCATAGTCGGACTCTTCGCGTCTTTCCGATCAAGACCCAACCCTTAAATCGCGTCATTACTATTGTTTCCTCCGTCGTCGATGTTGGGTAAGTTCTGGTCACTTTTCGTTTTGATTGCTTCATGTTTGAATGTATTACTGACTTGATATGAGTTGGAAATGGTGTTTGGATTCTCCCGGATTAATTGGCTGCCACCCTTGACTTTGTCGTCGCCGTATGCGCATGGGGTTCCTCCTTATTCAAAAATTCTTCTAGAACCGGTATGAGTCAACTTAGATCGAACCGAGTTAACCCGAATAGGTCTGACCCGTTGACATGCTCGTTGACCATTGACTAAACCTGTTGACTTTGACCAAAAAGTCAAAATTTTTGAAAAGTAATATTTTATTTTTTTCAAAGTCGAGTCCGGATCCGAAGTCCGTTTGGCCAAATTCTAACCCAAAACCTCTAAATTGATCCGTAAACCCAAATATGCATATGTAATTTAAGTGATTTAATTAAGTGCAATTACTTTAAGGTCGATATCTGACTTGTGTTATTGTTTAATTAAGGTACCCGTGATTCTTCCGATCGTTCGTCTGCTCGACCTGGTTTATCCCGATCCGTTCGTCTGCGAGAGTCCGTGATTACTTGTGTAGTTCTGTAATCCTGTTAGATACTCCGGTTTAGTGTACTACTCCGATAATAAATCTTTTATGATATGACCTAGGTTCGCATACCGTTGAGGAGCGTAGTGAAACTGATGCTCGATAGATCTTTCGGACTGTTCTTTTTGTGAGATATATTCCTTGTGTGACATATATATGTTTTAAATATATGATTGAAATACCATGTATACATGGATATTTTCTCTAATTTGAATTGTATTGTCTCCTCTAATTTGATTACGTATGATTTATCAGATTTAAGCCTGATTCATGGTTTATTATTTATTGTATTTTATATCATGCTTTCTTGACATATGTTCTCTAGTTACTGCTTTACTGATAAATAAATAAATAAATGTATGAACTTTGTTTTTCTGTTACTACTATTTACTGTTTGAAAACTATTTTCTTCGGGATACTTTGGGATCTAGTATGAAGTCTCTACCGGTTCAACTCCGATCAGGCTAATAATTCCTTATACAAGTTCAACCCCAATCAAGCTTGTATTTTGTATAATACTCTTGTTGTAATATTTTTATTTTCCGAACTGCTTTCATTTTCAGTGACATGTGCCCATATTTTGAATTACTCATTTTACGATTTATACTACTTTTGCTACTAATATCAGATTTACTTTGATACTAATTATAAAATATTTTATTTTACTCGCTCATAGTTTTATATTACTCATTTTGGACTTTATTAACATTAACTATGTTATATTTTATTTTACAATCACTTATAATTTTACATTACTCGTTTAGGACTTTATCATTATTAACTATATTATTAAAGATGTTCATAACATAGATTTATAATAATAAAGAATGTTTTGAAAATTTCTATTGTAATTCTTTAAATCTAGTCGTACCGCATAAACTCTGAGGATTATACACAAAGTACCCACTCCAGCTTTTGATTCGGATGGCAATGAAGAAACCGCATGAACTAATTAATCTTCTGAAAATCGAAACGAGAGCCAAATAGCCATCTAGCAGCTCAAATTATTCAATCACTCACCCAGTCAACCGACGAGCTTAAATGAACAGAAAGTCTGAGCATAACTAGATTATTTGATCTCAAGTCAATAGAGGATGGTTAATTAGAAAAGGTGATAATAGATGGCATTTTCATAACTAAGAAACCAGCCTAAAGAGAAACGCTAAAGGCCTGAAAACAAAATATATAATTTATCATGATAATTCCAATTTGATGCAACAATAAAACAAAGAGTACAACAAATAAATATAGATCAAAGAGCGTATCAATCATCACAGAAACCTGAGTTTACAAATGGAGTCTGGGTAAGAAATGACATCAGCACAGTATGAAAATGATTTGCCGCACAACTTTCAGAGCAAAGCACCGCAATTTTAACTTTCAGAATCAAGAGCTAGACTTGTCCTCATCAAATTTATCCAGAAATCTTTGACGTAGGTCCTGCTGTAGCATCTCTGTGTATTCCTGAAAATGTTAGAAAATATTATGAGCTTCTGTACAAAAATAAACCTGAAAAATTAGGCAGTTAAAAAGATAATGTTGCTTGAGACAATTTATTTCTCAACATAACGGAAGCACTTAAGCCTCTAGCTGCTTTGAAGTTTGACTGGTAAGAAACCCAATAAATCAAAGGCAAATATCTCGTAGCCAGACAACTCACCTTGGCAAGACCTTCATTACCACACAACTCATTCAAAAGTTCTTCAGCATTCCTCCCATCACCATATACCTGAACTGCATTTTCGGCAACAGCATGGAAGACGTTACCTGGTAGACTAGTTTGCTCAATCCTCCGAGCCGTTTGTTGAATATCATCCTGGAAGAAACAGAAGATAACAGTCCTCCATGTCAGTTTATATACACACAAAACACATACGCACACAAACCACCTGAAAAATCTAAATTATATGTATTTAAAAAATTGAAAATCATAATCAAATGATTTATCAGGCAGTTGACCTCCCCCCATCACATTATACCTGAAATTTAGGTTCTACGGCAGGGAATGGCGGAGGAGCCCCTGGCCCACGACCAAGAGCCTGAGTAACAATAGGCATCATTTGTTGGACCATCCGTGACAGATCGATACCACCACTTTGGCCTCCTCCAATACCTGAAAACATGTTTCCAATATCTTGGCCATCAACCTGCTGAGCTAGTTGACTAACGGTGTTCATGATTTGTGGACTTTGAGTAAGTTGCTGCAACATGTTCCTAAAATCATCCGGTGAACCAACACCAGTTTGCTCTGAGAACCTGGCCAATAGGCCATTTAGTGCAGGACTTTGAAGAACTTGTGAGACAGCAACAACAGCCCCTGGTTGATCAACAGAGCCCTGCACTCCTGACAACCTACTACTCTGAACACCTGGATTACCTGAGGAAGGATCTACCCTATTTACAGAAGAGCTCCGAGATGCAAGTGACTGCAGAATCTGTTGACCAGCTGTTCTAGAACTCAGGTTTTGATCATTAGAAGAACTAGTTGTTCCACTATCACCAGCAGTGGAAGATGATTTGGTCGGTTTTACTCGTCTCTGGCCAGAATAATATTATATGATTATTTTCAATAAAAATAACATAGTTAGATTAAGAATAAAGAAATATATCACACCTTACGTTCCAAACCCCCTAACCCCAATCCAAGTGGTACAGGCTTGGCATTTTCCTCGCTGGATTTGATAGAACTTCCTGAAGGATCTTCCGACTTCACCAACAATTCTCCACTTGAGCTAGGAGAACATCCAACTGTGCAAATTGATGCATCCTTTGAATTCTCACCACTCTCCGTATTATTGTTACTTCCTTCAGCACGTTGACATTGTGACTGAATATTAAGAACATAGTGGTCAGAGACACTAAACGGATAGTTCCTAATTGAGATCATTTTATAGTGAACAATGCACACCTTCGGTTCTTCAGTTTCAAGGTTTGCAGGTACAGCAACAGTAGAATCCCCAGCTCCACTAGAAGCAATATGATTGAGCTGATGACTACCTGCAGCAGATACAAACATGAATTCCACAATTCTGCTTTAACCATTAAATACCAGAGAGATAATATGAGCATCAATTCAGTTACTAGAATCTGAAAACTAATTGCCATCTACCTGATGCAGCCTGGTTATGTCCCTGTGTACTAACTAAGTTTCTAATTCTTGAATTGAGTTCATCAACAACAGATGATAGTGATGATTCAGTGGGTGCAGATTGTGCTGCACTGGACATATCACCAGTAGCATGTGCTCGGTCAACTGCAACAATATTGTTTTGCACAGGAAGAACCCGTATCAAACCAGAACCAGCATTGTTACCACGCTCCCCTTGCATCCCTTCCCCAATGTTTGTTCTATTACCAACTGCGGAAACCACAGGTGCCAGAGTGGTGCCTGATAATGACAGTTATTAAATAAAAATGTCACTTCACTTCAGTTTAAGAAAGGGAAATAATGGCCAGGCTGCAGATTTTACCCACCAGGATGTATGTGGATATTTATGTGCCGTGCATGATTTCCAGCACCAGCAGGACCTACAGTCACAGGATTTGATGGAGAATGGGAACCGCTAAAGAGGGATCTGGTTTGAAGGGGGAAAGGCTGCAAATAAACAGCCAATGCATGCATTATGAATACGATCCTAAAGAAAATTTCAACACTTGAACTAACAAAGCAAGTTCATTCATAGTTGTTTCAGCACATCTCAAGCCAACTGGTGAAGTACAATTTGTACTAAAAATAGCATGATGTATACAATTAACAATAACATGTTAGAATTGTAAACTAAAAGCTTCACATCTCAGAACTCCCTGTTTTCTCCCAAAACCAAACACAAGATCCCCCCTTTTCATACCCTAACCTCCCTTTGTTAATTCTCGGTCATTAAAAGAAAATTGTCTTTTATGTCTCAAAAGCATAACATATTTTTTAACAACTAACTTAGACCCAAACTGCTAAAATGTCGGCTCCAAGGAACATCTCCATAGTTAGTAATATGATCCTAGAGAGACCAGATGAATATCAATATGTTCAATTTAGCCATTGCCGAATAATAATCAATAGAAGAACACATTACACAGCATAAAATATCTGCAATGCTTGAAAAAACTGCTCAGATTTGTTCCGGCAACCAAGATATCAAATACTACCGTACTTGAATAGGATATTAGCAGGAGTTTGCATTTTATACATACTTGACAGAAAACACATATCAGACAGAACTCGCTCAGAGCAGTTATGACAATCAATATATCTACATATTACAATATATAAATAGAATATATTATAGTCATTTCAAAACATGATATAATGCAAACAAATTTTTAGCATACCTGAACCATAATAGGATTCGGTCCAGAAGGAGATATATAAACTGCAGTTCCAGCTTTAACTGAAGATTCTGCCTGTGAATTGCATGAAACATTTAGTGACGTGTTATTGTTCAAGGAGAATATGGAATATGGATGCAAGAGAATGTAGTTCATACAGGAGAATGTCCCATACGCAGCGTCAATATGGCTCGACCAAGCTCTAAAAGAAGAGAACCTAAATGCTGCATTGTAAGACCTGCTTGTACAGATTCTGTTTGAATTTGCCCCCGCATGGTAGGATCAGAAGAATCCCTCTCTTGCTCTAAACGTCCGGCAATATGCTAAAAAAGTAGCAGTGTATAAAAGAGAGAGAATCAGATGAAAAATTCTCAACTTCAAAGAGAGAAAGAAAAAGAATATGGAATCTATTCAGAGTAAAGAATCTTAAGTTACATAATAATTCTGCTTCTTCAAAGCCGCTGAACTTAGACTACGACCGATAAATCATATAACAGAAAGAATTCCCATTTAGCTTCCTCAATATACATGTACTTATGAATTTCATAACGCAAAAAAATTTCACCGGAGTCCCAGTAAATTTACATGCGAAAGAGGATTCACAGAGATTGTGACACGTATCTGAAAAACAGTTTTAAAATTGTAGAAGGATTTATGCCTTATCGATTAATAAAAGGGGATTAGTTGAGGAACTTTGGTTGTTATGAAAGCAAATGTTGGGTTTGGATTATTCGATTAAGGAGGAATTTATGCGACTGGGAATTGGATCATGGATCTCTCTAATGACATTGATTGATAATATTGTTTGATTGATTCAGTTGATGATTTTCTAACTTGGTCAGGGAATGGAGATGGTTTGTTCTCAGTTAAGGCCTGTAGATCAACACTTACATGTAGTTCTGGAGGGAATTTTCAGTGGAACAAACGGGTATGGTCTGGATTGGCTCCTCCGAAAGTTGAGACATTTCTATGGCAACTATCTCACCTAAAACTAGCTGTTAGAGTAGAGTTGAAGAAAAGAGGTGTTCCCCTGGAAGATTTATTATGTCCTTTATGTCATAAGGAGGAAGAAACAATTCAACATCTTTTTATTTTATGTCCTGTTGCTTGGGAGTTATGGAATAGGTTCATCATGTTATGGGAGGTTTCTACAGTTCTGCCCAAAGATCCCCTGGCTTTACTGTGTTCTTGGTCTGTTTTAAAGGCTTCTTCTTCTATCTGGAATTTTATCCCGGGTGTTGTTCTGTGGTCGTTATGGAAGGCTAGGAACTTGGTGGTGTTCGAAAACTGGAATTTTGAGAACTCTACACTGTTCTTTATTTGCAGATTCAGGCTGGCCAAATGGTTTTTAGCTAAATTTCCCAAGGCTAATATCCAGGTTGATTTATTAATAGGGGATCCTCGGCTTGCAGATAGATTAGCAGTCAAAGCTCCTAAGATGAAGAAGGTTCAGTGCTGGTTTCCACCTCCACCTGATTTTTTATAAAATCAATGTGGATGGGGCAGTTAGAGGGGATGGTTTGCAGGTGGGATTGGAGGTTTGCTGAAGGATTCGAATGGCTCTATCTTGATCTCTTTTTCTAAAGATGTGGGATCAGGTCCTCCTTTGTTTGCTGAGTTGAAGGCTATTAAAGAAGGCATTGATTTGTTTCTTAATTCGGATTGGGTGTTGAAGGGAAGACTTATTCTAGAGAGTGATTGCAAAACAGCAGTGGGCATTGATTTTTCTGTTCTTTGGTTGGGGAAATTGGGGTTTTAATTTCTGCTAGGAACATTATGGTTAGGCTGGTCCCTAGGGCTTGTAATTGGGAGGCAGACAAGTTAGCTAAGGAGGGGATAGGTTGAATGTCCTTAGTGTTTTAGTGGTTATGTTTGGTTTCTTATTTCGGGTGATGCTGTAACTAAAATCTTATGTAATTTTGGGTTATTAATATATTGAGGTACTCTTTTCCTCCTTCCGCTAGTCGCCTCTTCTCAAGAGGCAACTATGAGGGAGGTTTTTAATGAGACCTATTCCTATCAAAAAAAAAAATTGTAGAAGGATAGTATTCAACATATCGTATCAACCTTAACATGAATATGGTTAAACATTTAATAACAAAAAAAAGCTTAAAAAATTCAAAAAGACAGTAAATACATAAAACACACTTATGGACAGCACTTACAGACAATGCACCAATAGCATGACTGCTAAGAAGTCGTACTGCATGTCGAATTACAATGCTCAATGCTTCAGGTGTCGGCAGACCACGTGCATCAGATGGTAACACAACCCTTGGTTGTTCCCTTATGTTAGTTGTAGATGCGTGTGGCTGATAGCCTACATAATGCCATAGCAATTAGTCGTTGCAACTATTTCCAAACAAATACTTGACTTAATGCTTTTAGTAGTATCACCATTTGGAGAATGTGCCTCCATGTGGCTCATAAACTCAGAGAGAGTATTTAAGGAATCAGGAATTGGCTGGAAAAAAAAAGAAAAGAGTGGAATTAGACAACAATCAAATTATAATCTGCTAAAAGATAAATAAGTTCAACTGTACTACCGTATTAAGTGAAGGAATAGATGCTTGGGCTGCACTCAAAGGAATTGGGATAACTTGTTGAGAAACTTGAAATGATTGACCAGACTGTGCCTGATTTCCTACTTGGTTCTCACCAGCAGCACGTCCTCCATTTGTTTCAATTCCTTGAGGAGCCTGAATGAAAGCATTTTTTTTATTATTCAATTACTTTGGGTGTTCTATATTTCTAACTCCTTGAGAAGCCAAAAGTAATACCGATGATTACTTAAACCCTTAAGCCATCACATTCTTTTCTAGTTTTTTCCATTTTCGCTACATTTAAATCATTAGCATGTTCATTAGGTTTAACAGTATAAATAAGAATATCTGAATAGAATTACTAATTTTAAGATGAAGCATTTGCCAACACGAAGCTTAGAGGGAAATATAAGCATCTGCAACCCAAAGTCATATTTAACTTGTTAACTTTAAGAAAAGAAAATTTTGTAATCAAGCATTACTCACAGAGGTTGAAGACTGTGTAATGGTAGCATTAGTAGTAGACTGGCCTCGAACTCCAAAAGAATTTAAAACTGCTCCAATAACCTAAAAGCCAAGCCAAAAATAATGAATTAATAATCAGCATCCCTTCACCAACATTATTAAAGGTCAATTGAAACGCTTCAAAATGAAAAAGAAAAAAAAGAAAGTACCAACCCGACTAAGGTCTGGAGCACTGCCATCACCTTGATCTCCAACATTAAAGGTCCCAAGAACCACACTGTGTGAAATCTGCCCAACTCGGTTACGAGGAACGCCTGCAGAAGCATCATTTCCTGCCATTCATAGTTCAATTCACTCTTGATAGCTACAGTTATGGGTAAAACACCCTGAATTTCAAGGCCAGACAAGCACCACTATATATATTAATACCTCTATGACTGTTATTTCCATCTGCTTCTCCTGAACTTGCATCAGAAGACGGCTGTGACTGGGCAGGCTGCCTTTCAACTAAGTGCAATGTATGCCCATTCTCAACATCTAAAAAACCAGTGAAGGATACATGGTATAAAGTGAACCACGACATATGAATCTTATAACATGACAGCAAACTTGTAAGTAGATACAACAGCATCTTGATTTATTTTTTTTGGTAGTTACAACAACTAATTTCCAGTTCTGGTTATTTATGACACATAACTTGATGTGACTATGAAACAATATAGTTGTTGCTGTACGCTAAGCATTCAAGCCCATTAACTAATGCTCATTTTAGACAATGAAGTGAAAAAAGCAACAGTTAGCACCGCTAGCAATCTACTAATTTTACATTAACAAAATCAATCCAAACTCGCACGCACAAGTCATGCCTTAAATTATATAATTGTGATAATTCTGCAAACGGACATGCCATCTAAGAAACCAATAATTAATCCTGCAGCACAGAAAATCTTTTATGTAGAATATATCTAGTTAAATTAAGGCAACGATGTTCTCTAGAAACATAAATGACAGGATACGATATTCAGAAAGGAGATGATCATCCTTTAAGACCTTTCCCCTGAAAATCAGTCGTTGCTGACCTACTGGGACACCAAGTTCCTGAGCTATTCTCTCCTTGAACAATGAAACTGGTGTCTGAAATCATCCATGTAATAGGTATCAGCTAAAAGCTTGACAAGGGACAATTTTAATAAAAATTAAAGATGCACTGAATGGCATCAACTTTATGAGATTGCTCATGCTTAGAAGCAAGCACTTACATTTTTGTCAACCGGAAAACTAAAAATCTGTGAATCCAGAGTCTTGATCCTTAGCTCTACAATAGAATCAGAAGATTCCCCAGAAATGCTGCCCATGCTCGAACCTTCATTAAAGTGCTGATCTGCCATGGAAATTCAACAGCTACCGGTGCCTAGAACATCACAATAATATCATTTCCATTCAGAATTTTCCGCTAGTTCAAATCCTCCAAGTAAACTATCATTGGCTAAAAGGTAATTAACTCTTAAAGCGGTTGAAATCACAAGTTAACAACAGATCAGCACTCAATGTCACAAATGTCTAGTTAGTTCTTCTAGTTATAATGACAATAATAATTAGTTGTCCAGCAACATGAATTATTGAAAAGATAGGATAAAAGGAATATTAAAGTCTCTCTTCAAAAATGAATCACAGATTTAGAATCTTATCTAATTAATCATTAAGATAGATTTCCATTTCTTATATATCAATGACATACGACAAGAAAATGCATAACCAGCAATTCTTTTAGCCATGGTCAACAAAAGTCAAATGTTCCTACATTTAAGGTGCAGGTTTGAAAAACCAAATACAATACCAATATACTTTTAGTTCTCTTCCTTCTAAAAAGTAGAAATAAAAACTAAAAAAAATTAAAAATGGGTAATAAAAAAGATGATGTGCCAAATTCAATAAATCAGAAACGAAGATAGCATCAATCAATCAAAGCAATTTACATAACAATCGACGGATCGGAGAACATAGATGAAATCAAATAAGATCAAAATCATTTAAGACAAAAGAAATAATCTAATCTAACCCTAGAAAACGGTAGATTCACATCGAAGAACGTAGATAATAATAATAACAACAATGGAACCAACGGCACGAACCTAAATATTATGAGGAAGTCTAAACCGAATACTGAAAAATCCGAAGGAAACTGCAAATTCCGATGTTATCGATGAAAAAGGCAATCGAATGTGTATTGAAATGGAGGGGTTGCTTTTAGGGTTTACCAAATCGCGACGTTTTCGGCCAAGCTGAGTTCGGCTAATTCTATGTACGATGCCTATGTGGATTTGTTGGAGAGAGATATTTGTTTCGAGAAGAATCTAGATCAAGCAGCCCCCCATGAAGCGGATGGAAATTTCCATCGACGTCGTTTTGATCGGTCATGACTCATGAGTCACTCGTGACTCGTGTCGCGTCGAGTCTCTTCTTTTTGTCGGCTTCTCTCGTCTTCCAGTTTTACTCCGTTTTCTTGGGCTTAATAAAATACATCCAGTTGCATGCAACCACTACTGCCACAGTTGGACATTAAGTATTAATTTGGTAACAAATAACTAGCGCGTCCAGTGCAAAAAAAAAAAAATTAAAGCCCAGCCCAGGCAAACAATATTTGGATTTCATCTAGGTGCCTTTGGATGCAATTGGTGCTTCAGTGCTTTGGAGTACTTTTTAGGTGAAACGTGCCCTAACAATCTCTTTGGATTGCATGTTTTCATCACAATCGCAGCTGTCAACGAACTAGCGGCCTTTTTTCTTTTCATTGGAACTTTGTGCTCCAGTTAACAATTCTAACCTCCAGTAGTAATTCTTTTTTCATTTATATCATTTCTTCTTGATACATTTTAATTGTTTTCCGTTACATTCCATTGAAATATTCTATAGTTTTCCTAACAACTTTTTAATTATTTTGACTGAAAGGTGGTAAAAATTTATCCATTTCGCATAACTAAAAGTTTATTAAAGTTTATGATAATTATTTTGAGATGTTTGTGCTTTGGATCGGTGCTTTGCAATGAGTACGTTGGAGATGTTTGTGTTACTCGTGCATGGAAAATATTTATGACCATGATATTTTTGTACTTTTGCCTTGATTCCTACAAGTTTTGATATGTCTTTGTGGTTATGATATTAATAAATTGTAAAGGCGGGAGATTCCAACTATTTTGGGAACAATAAATTAGAGAATGTGACGTCTAGAATACGTGTGGGTTGTTGCGGTCCGTTCATTAGGTCATCGTTGCGCTTTTTGCTCCTCTCTACGATTCTATCTCAGGACAAGACAAATTCTAATACTAGTGTTTTCTATGCTGTTTTCTGGGTCAGGGATGCTGTGGTCTTCGTCACATGGAAACACGTTATTTTAGCTTTTATGGATTTTTCAGCTGTTTCTTTATACTCTAGGTACCTACTCCAAGGATAAATTGAGGAAGAGATGATTAGAGATAACCGTTTTCCTTAAAAGATTTAAATGTATTATAACTTTAAAAAATTTATTAATAATTTATTATTTTGTTAAAATTTTATAAATTTATTCTTTCAAAATCTTAAAATTTTATCTTTCTTAATATAAAATTTTATATTTATCTCTGTCACTAGTCGACATATTAAAATTTTAAATTAATTTATATATCAAATATTTTATTTATATTTTCAATTAATAATTTACTTTTACCTCCTGTAATCTTATAAATTTATCAACTCCTAAAATAAAAAAACTCGCCCCACCTAACAGAATATGTCCGTCCGTGTTCACAAAGCTATTTGCTTCTCTGCATAAAAGTCGCAAAGCAAGTCAGATGAGCTAGTAAAAGGAAAAGAGATGATGCTTCCGTTATATGTAAAAACACATGATCTTGAATTTGTTAAAAAGGAGTCGACAGACGAGATGCAAGGTGACAAACAAGTATGATTTGATATGATAAACTTTATCCCTAATAGGATAATTATTTGAAATGTATATAGGTGTTTTGCAAAACACACACCAAGCTATGTTTAATTTATTCTTCATTTGTAAGTTTGGGATAGGGTAATTATTTGAAATGTATGTAGGTGTTTTGCATGACACATGACAAGCTATATTTAATTTATTTTTCATTTTAATCGGTTTACATTTGATGTTATTTCATTGCCTCGAGGATATTGTTCTTTTGGGAAAAATAAACCTTTAATTTTTTATATTTAATTAAATTTAAAATAATTAATATGATTATTAGATAGATGAAAAATATTATTGATTATTATAATATTAACGTAATGATTCATGATATTGATGTCATCATATGATAGTTTACATATAATGATAATATGACATATAAATTTTATTAAATTTTTTAAAATTAAATGCTTAATTTGATGTGCCGCTCTCCCTATGTTTTTCCCTTTTTATGCTGCTCTCCCTTTTATATTTTAAAATTGTCCGTCTAGCTCAGTTGGTAGAGCGTAAGGCTCTTAATCTTGTGGTCGTGGGATTGAGTTCCATTGAGGGCAATTTATAACGGAGGTTTTCCACGGAAGCTGTTCTCAACCTGGCGTTGGGATAGCTTACTACCTTACCTCCCCCTTACCCCATTACATTGGGAATAGTGTCAGCTAAAAATTATAGTTGTAGACCATTGGTACTTCTTATTTTTCGCTTATTTTTTTATACTACATCTTTATTTTTCTTTTGATTATTAGTTTTCAATAACTCTATCTTTGTAGAACTTTTTATCTATCTTTATGACATGTGTTTTTTCTCTTTTGACACGTTTTCGATCGTTCTTTTTCGTTTTTATCTTTTCTCAGGGTTAGATTGATGACGTCTCGACTGATCAAGACGCTTATTTATTATCTTAATGAGCTTCCCTGCTTTGGACTCTCAGATTTGATTAATATACGTGGTTGCGTTCATGGATAATTTCTCACGTCGCTTGATACAGATATATGGTTTGTCGGTGGTTTTTTTGGTAGTTTTCATCTCTTTTTGTGGTTCGTTTCTTGATGCAGTCAAATCTTTTCGTATTTATCTTTGTTCGAGTATTTTAGTTGGATTTTTAACATTTTTATGGTATTTGTATGATCTCAAGTGGTTAATTTCTTGTGTTAATGATTATAGAAAACTATCATAATTATGTTTTTAATTTACGATGATAGTGGTAGACATTCATTGCAATTTTTGTTGCTTTTCTTTTAATAAAACTAGCTGTTTTTATTCAAAAAAGAATTAAATGCTTAATTGATTTTTTTTTTTTTAAATTGAGAGTTTATTTAATTTTTAAAAAAGTTAAAAACTAAAAATTATCTAAATTTAAAATATTTAAATATTTTAAAAAATAAATATTTTGAAAAATAAACAAAATATTAAAAGTTTCAAAAAGTTAAATAAAATTAAAAAAATATCAAAAGCAATAAAACTATAATTTATAATTTATTAAAAATAAGATTCAAAAACATTTATAAAGTATTAAAAGTTTTAGAATATTTTCATTAAAAAAATATTCGATTATCGCTCATCAAAACGGTCAAATTTTATTCTTTGAACATATTTTAAATTGAATCAACATTATTTTATCCACTAATGTTTTTTTGTTGTTGATATTTTTCCTATAATATAAAAATGACGGGATTTTGTTGTAAACTTATAAATATTACTTCATTACAAATTCTACTAATCGTTTTTATAATATACGAGTAATCTCAAAAGTTATTGATAGATAAAGTAAGATTAATTTCATTAGAATCATGTTCAATGAATAGTAATAGACTCATGCTAACGAGATCTAGTTAAAACTTATTTATAGAAGTGTTCAAATGTTAAAAATATTTTTAATGTATTATTTTTTAATAATTTGAATTTATTATTTATATTTGTATATTTCTTTAACTTATTAATAGAAGTGTTCAAATGTTAAAAATATTTTTAATGTTTTATTTTTTTAATAATTTTGAATTTATTATTTTATATATTTGTATATTTCTTTAACTTATTAATTTTGTCTAACTTTTTAAAAAAATTATCAGTATTTTTATTTTTAATATCTTTTTAATATTCAAGTTTTAAATATTTTTATATTTTAAGTTTTAAACTATGCTATTTTTTAATTATTTGTTTAAAGATTATAAATCCTCAAATTTTACACTAAAGTAATTAAGACCTCAAATTTTAAAAGATTAATTGAGCTATTATGTCACGTTAGTATTCACGAATTATCCTGTCAGTATCATAAGATATCATATTTATATTATAAATTATCATATCAACATTGTAATAGTCAACAACAGTTCACATCAATAACTAAATTATATTAATTAATTTTTTTGAGTTCGACGAGCTAGTTGAGTAAAGAAAATCATGAGTCATTGATTTTCGTGTAAACTACATTCGTAATCACTTCATTATAGAAAGATTTTAATATTATCATCAATATTTTAATTTTATTAAACAATCAATTTAGTTATGTAAATGGTGTTAATAAAGGTACATGCCGTTAATATTTAATGGAGGAGTTGACGTAATAATTAATAAAATCGATATAATTATATATTTGATCCTCGTCACTTACTCATTTTATCAATTTGATCTTAATTTTATTTTAATCGAAGATTTAATCCTCTAGCTAGTTGGTGACACTTAAAAAGATTTTTTCATTCTTTCATTTATTAAATTTAATAAATTTTATCTTCAATTAAAAGATGATACGCTAAATCATTAGACTAGATTCAAACTCAAATTATATAGAGAGTAGGAGAACAATTAAACAATTGAAATAAATTTAATAATTATCTATAGTTGATTATATTTTAAATTATAGCTAATACAAAATTAAAAATAAATATAAAAAGTTTAGGAAATAAATTTAAAATATTTTAATTTTAGTGATTAAAAATAAAATAAATTAAGAATCAGCCTCTGACCCAAAAAAAATTAAGAATCAGCCTCTGACCTAAAAAATCAATAACCGGCCGCCGTTGGTCATTGAATCGGTTTCGGGTGGCGCTGCAACGATGCAAGGATCTTCTGGGATCGGCTACGGTCTGAAATATCAGGTTCACTCTCAAAATTTCAATTATACTAAGCACCTCTCAAATCAGGAGATACTTACATTTAAGCTGTCAGGGAAGATGCATTTCGGATGTCAGAGCAGACACCGATCATACCAGTTTCATTACCGGAACCCTCAGTCTCAGGGAAGAAAATGAGGTTATTGGTTTTGTTAGTGAATTATTTTAATTTGGTTTAATTTTTATTTTTGTTTCATATTAGTTAAACCGAACTGAAATCTGACCAGGTGCATCTGATTCGGCTATCTTCTTCCGGAACTGAGCTCATTTGTGAGGGCTTGTTTTCTCACCCTAACGAGATCTGGGACCTAGCTTCCTGTCCATTCGATCAAAGGATTTTCTCCACTGTTTTTTCTACCGGTAGCTTATTTGAATCTGATTTACCTGTATTTCTTGCATATTTTGGTTCATCTTCGTAACCTTTGAGCAATTTAGTCTACCTTTCTTGTTCTCTCTCTAGTACTGGTAGCTCATTGTTTTTTGTGACTTTACGGCCAAGAGATAGTAGAACAAAATAGATCCCATTGTTTTACTACAGTTGAATTAGCCGCTGCAACGGCATTATCCTGTATAAAAGTTTTATGGTTAAAGATGGAGACTGGTTTGATAGTTTTCTTTGTCGTTGAAGGTGAATCTTATGGGGCTGCAATATGGCAGATCCCTGAGTTATATGGACAGTTAAATTCACCGCAGTTGGAACGAGTTGCCTCCCTTGATGCACATGTTGGCAAGATTAATTGGTGAGTTACTGTTTCAAAATTCCCCCAAGTTACTGAAGCTGTGTAGTCTTTGCTGTTTGGACTGAACTTTTTTGTGAAATTTATTTTGGCTTACTTAATAACAGTGTTCTCTGGTGTCCGTCTGGAAGACATGATAAGTTGATCAGCATTGATGATGAAAATATTTTCTTATGGACTTTAGATTGTTCAAAAAAGGCTGCCCAGGTTAGATTCTGCATGGATTGTCTTCTTATCATCCAATTATTATTGTACTAGGATGCGACTATGCATCCTCTAGGTTTTATTTTACCTTTGTGAAAATAGTGATCAATACTGGAATACCTTCTTCAAAGACACAACTGACATGTTTGTAAACAGTTGCATTGTTTATTCACCCTCCTTTTCTTTTTCTTTTCCCCCTTTCTCTTCCTTCACTGTATCTCAATATAGTCAATATAGCTTCAGTGTCTCATATTAAATTTTGTGGCAATTGGAAACTTTGCATTTATCTAACCTGACAGAGACATTGACTACATATCAGTGGCAGTTATAGTAAACAAAAAAAAAATCTATATGCCTATCAATGTTACATGGACTCAGCACTTTAGGGAGCCATACCCCTGTTGACACGACATGGGTACCAACATGATATGTGGCAGACTAGTTGCTGTGTAGTTCAAAACAGCAGCCAACATTGCAGAGGTGGTTCTTGGTGGCAAGAGATGTTTTGAGGTTTCAAAGCTGTGAGGAGGAGGATCAAGTGGAAAAATGGAAATAGGAAACTAAGGAGAATTTATGAGTGAAATTTGGAGAAAATATGACATCAGTTAAAGCGACAAATGATTTTTTAGCAAATGACGTGTCTGGTCCTTAGATTTACTCATGTTGGATATCTGAACCTAAGACCCTAGCCCATAAACCATTGATTGCTTGTATAGTATTTGATGCTTATTCAGATCTTATTGTGGAAATCTAGGTACAATCTAAGCAGTCATCTGGTTTGCTTCATTACTTATCTGGTGGTGCATGGGATCCACATGATATAAATGCTGTTGCGACCACTTGTGAATCATCAGTCCAGTTTTGGGATCTACGTACAATGAAGTATGTTGTCTCTGAGTATCTTAGTTTCTTGATTAGTTCTAAACAGTTTAATCATTATGCTGGTGGTCATTTAATTTGGCGTTCCATTTCCCTTGTGATTTGACTCATTTTTCTAAATGCATGGGCTAAAATTCAAAAAGTTTATATTTGACCACCTGCCTTCCTCTAGCTGAAGAAAAGAGGACAAGGAAGGCATGATGTTGTAGCTTGTACCTTCTAATTATTTAGTTTCTCTGCAGATCATTTTTCTTAAAATTTTTACCTAGATATAGTTTATGGATTGCACTTCGAGTTATGCTGTTGCTGACAACAATTTTATGTTATCATAGGAAGACAAACACAATTGAGCGTGCCCATATCCGCAATGCTAACTATGATATGAAGAAAAATCATATACTTGTAAGGATATAGCTTGAATATTTTACTATTTAAAATAATCTTTTACTGGCTCTTTGCATTAATGCTTTTGTATTGGCCTATTGGTTATTTCTATTATAACTTTGGCTTTTAGAATGCCTTTTTTTTTGTGGGGAATGAGTTGGCATGTTAAAACGCTTTTTCTATCAAACAAAACTTTCTTATTTCTAGAACTATGTGAATCCTAGATAATATAGTATAGACCGATATTATAAATTACAATTATCAATGTGACATGGTAAGGATGAGAAATTGGGAGGATTTTTTTTTCTTTTGTAAAATGAAACTGGTAGGATTTACTTGTCAATTAAATTATACTTTCATTTTAGTCAATTAAATTATACTTTCATTTTAGTCAATTAAACTATACTTTCTTTTGTAAAATCTGCTATGCACACATGTACACTTATAAACCTTGTTTAATCGTGTACAACTATCGAATTTGTATATCAATTATATACATTAGATAAAACAACGTATTGATTGTTCGAATGTTTATCACATTTTCTAAAAGGAAATTTATCTATTTTGGACCACTATTTATAATCTTTTACTGGTGTGTGGGGTTTGATGGAATGAAATTGGTCCTTTGCATTTTGTCAATCATAAGAGACATTCACCTGTTCATAATAGTTGCTGAAATCAGTAAAAGAATGGTAAATTATATGGAAGTGGTGATTGTGAATGAACTTATTTAAGTGAGATGGTATTTCTGCTGGTTACTGAGACTAAGTTATTATTGTCACTTTTATCACAGGTCACTGCAGAAGATGAATCTGGGATACACATATGGGATCTTAGAAAACCCAAAAGTCCTGTCAGAGAGCTTCCTGGACACACACACTGGTAATTGACTTGTACTCTTATAGGTCTTTTTTCATTTTTGAGGAACTTTGCTCTTTCTATTTTCTCAATTGATTGATTTATAGTTAATCTCCAACATTTGAGTTTATGTTCTGAGTTGGTGCCACTAGAAAGAAACGGGAGTATTTAAGTTCATTGATTATGTCATGTTTATGTTTGCAGGACATGGGCTGTAACTTGTAACCCGGAGTATGATGGGCTAATTCTGGTTCTCTCTCTCTCTGAGCATTCATCTTAATATTGTTTTCTAGGGATAGGCATTAGGTCTTGGTTGGATTAAACTGGTTACAAATATTCGTCTGAATCAACTAGGCATAGCAATATCCATAAATTTTTAAGCCGCTATGACATAAACTGCAACTTGTTACTTATTGGTATATTTTGAAAATACTTGAGAATTTTCCCTTCTGTAGAGTGCTGGCACTGACTCGACTGTAAACTTGTGGATGGCTCCTACATCCGCTGAAGATGAGGCAACCTCTGAAAGGTTGTTCTAGTCTGTAGCTTTGCACAACTTTGTGTTTTATTGGTTGATCTTCACTGATATTTTATTGTTTTAATTTTGTTTAATTAACAGCATAGCCGAATCGGCCACTCAACAAGCTGACCCATTGCTTAATTCTTACAGTGATTATGAAGATAGTGTGTATGGTAATCAGTCCTAACCCCTACATGTGTTTTATATGCTTTTAAGAAATAAACGTAACCACAATCTGTTTTCAGGCCTTGCTTGGAGTAATCGCGAGCCTTGGATATTTGCTTCTCTATCATATGATGGCAGGGTAAGAACTATGCGCAACTCAGGAAGATAGTTGAAACATATAATCATCGACTAACGTGTGGGTTGTATATTGAATTTGATTTATGATGGATTTTCATATAATCCAGGTGGTGGTAGAGTCGGTTAAGCCATTCCTTTCAAGAAAATGAAGGTGTTATTATGGCTGTTGTCGGGAAAGTGATGAAATATTTAGGCAAACTTGACCTGAAGAGGAGCTGACTCATAAATTAAGTGTTTCATGACTTGCTGCCGGCCCAGTGTATTCTTTTTTTGGTTTTGTTGAGTTATAGTTGCTTCCTATTATCATCACCATCTGACATCGGTTATTTTTCCATGAATACTGAATCATGCTTACCTAGTTAATAACAGCAGTTATTCACCAACCGATTATTAAACATACGTCTCAATAAAATAAAGTGACAATGCCATTTTTTATATGGCGAGAAGTATGGTAAAATGTAAGCATCTATCAAGAGTTTTAAGCTGAAGCAATATTGATGTCTAGTAAAGAGTGTAGTGGCGGATTCAGAAATTTAAGAATGAAAGTTCACAATTTTAATTTTCTTTTCTAAAATATAATGGTATGGAAAAATTGTAATATTTCTCTTTTTTTTTAATGTATTAGGTTAAATTTAATCACATTACTAAAATAATAGGATGCACTCATCCGCCACTGAAGGAGTGAGATGCATTACGTCAAATGAGACATGGGACGATTATAAGTTAGGAGTTGGACATGTCAATATTTTTTATGCATTATATATACTCATATTTCTGAACAAAAAAAAAGCTCAACATCAAATGATAGAAATACATCATCGTAAATCAGATAAACTTTGGATAAAATAAATAAACAAAAGTAAAAATTGATTTTACTTTTTTTTTTTGAGGTTAAGTTGGAATTGCATGATAGAAAGTAAAAGGAAAAAAAATGAAAACACATGGTAAAATATAACCGTTGTAATTTGATGTAACCCCTTATATTCGATTTAGAAGTTATAACTGAATCAAAGGAGATTGAAAATAAATATTTAACTTTGTACAATATAAAATCCTGACTACACCTCCGATAGCCAAATCGATCCTACATCTGAATAATCTAAAAATGAGAGATAAAAACAAGGTGAGATATGGAGATCAATGTGTCATCTAAGTACAAACAAATAATAGTATTAAAACGCAGATAATTCAATCTCGATACAATAAACAACATAATAATCAAATAATAGTAAAGATGTTCACAACCTCTTCTTTCATTCTAGACTAATAGGATGGGGACGTTACCCTTCGAAGAGGAACCCAAACATAAAACAGAAATCATGATAGGGACGTTACCCATCGAAAAGGAACCCAAAAAAAACAAAAAAACAAAAATCATGATAGTGACGTTACCCTTCGAGGAGGAACCTGAGACTTTAGTAGATAATCCCAATATAGAAGCTTAAACCAATGTACAAATTATAAATAATATAACATTAAACATGAATCACACATGTCAATGTAATATACAACAAAAAACATAATACATATGAAAAAGTAAACATGTAATATAGATCAAGGAATACACATATACCAACTAAATAATATAAACTAAGCCTTACGCTTTCCACCGTTGGTAGTACTAGGTACTGTGGAATGAGAACCTAATTATAACATAGTACTATGCGAATTGATAACTCTACAAAAGAGTTATCAATTTAGCACTTTGTACCTATGTTTGGCTTGGAATTAAGTATGTTAAAAAGCATTTTAGGTTTAGTTTAATCTTATTTTTATATATTTTTGCATTGTTTAAAGTTTGGTTAACTTGGGCTAATTTCTGGATTTTTGTGCTAAAAAATGCAGATACTGCAGCGAAGAAGTAAATGCTACAACAACTGATGATTCACAAGGCTGAGTAGAACCTTCTGGATCAGGGATAGCTGTATCCTCTCCAACCAGCTGCTGCTACGTGGAAAATCTTTATTGGAGACAATTTTGACCTCCTCACCTATAAATAGAACCTCCCCTAGCTCATTTAATGATGAATTCTTCATCCTATCATCTTCCATAAAAAATCTCCCGTCTATTTTCCATGGTTGCCTAAGTTGCTCATCTGGAGGTGCGTTGCAGCATCTGGGATCATTCTAGCCTAATAGAATCGACAGTCAGCAAGATCACTTCAACTACTTAGACTTTGCCTGAGATAGTGAAGGTTAGATAGTTGATTTTATGTACTTGTGGACGTTGAATGTTCTAAATTTAGCTGTTTGGGTGGAACCCTTGTTTTTATGAATGTTATTTGTTACTTGTGCCTTATGCTTTTTGAATGGTGAAAGAGATTTCATTATTTAAGTATGATATTCTTTTATTTAGAGATAAATTAAATGACTTGCATGCTAATTTCGTGGCTTTGGTATTGTGAGAAGCAAATGCATGCTGAGATGTATGCTACTAATTGTTTATGATCATTACTATGTGATTGTTTGTCTTAGTGAGAGCTAATTCATATTAATCCGTTTATAGTGATTAATCCTAAATACATTGTAATTAAATTAATTGCATGAATTGAACAAGGAAACTCTTTTATCATCCCACTCTATTTGATTTCTGACTCTGTGTTGTACCCAGTGCTATAGCATGACCCTGACTATATTTCATTATATTTCCTCTTTTGTTACTTGTCTTATTTACATGCCAATTCAATCAATACTTGTTTGTTTAACTCAATAGTAAACTTTCTTCTCTCTGTGGGTTCGATATCCGAAATCCCAAAAGGATTACTAGGTGACGATACATATACTTGTGTGATTGCTATATCATATTTTAGAACATCAAGTTTTTGGCATTGTTGTCGGGGAGCAACTGTTTACTTTTGAGTTTTTGTTTTTGTTTACTAATGTTAACTTCCTAAAAATGCTACTTTTAAAGCCTTTTTCACTTAAGTTATTGTTTGTTTAAAAGCTCATTTTAGTCATTTTAGGATCATGTAGTTGCATATAGTTGCATTTGTGGTGGTTGTGCTATTTTATTTCTTAATGGTGCTGTTTGAGGGAAAGGTGCAGTTTGTCTATGGTGTGCAGAGAATAGCAAGAAAAAGGATTCTTTGGGAAGTAATGCCGCGGCATCACACGTTACTAAAGCAGATTGAAATGCCTTGGCATTTCTGGCGCAGAAAAAGACAAAAAGATATTTCTGCATAAGGACAGCTGGCATTGGACAACTGTCTCTGCATGTGAAGGACTGCTGTAACTGCCTGCCAGAGCTGCCAATGGACCACCGCCACTTGGAGGATAAGGATCATGCACAACATGTGATTCTAGGGGTATGAGGGGTATTTTGCACCCAACAAACTCATCATTACCCCTAGATATTTTTTATTATATATGACACCTCATGGGAGAGAGAAAAAAAGACGGACAGAGAGCACACGTATAGAGCAGAAAAAATCACATTTTTATTCTCCTTTCTTCTTCCTTGGGATATTCCTCAATTGATAAAGCTCCAAGGAGTGGCAAGCTAGGCGCCGAAAGGAGCTAGCGAGCTAGGTGGTTCGTGGTGGCCGAGAGGAGACCTCCGGTGGCGCGTCGAAGGCTTCTTCTCACTTCCCTTTTTGTTGCTATTTTATATTATTTTGTGGGTTATTGGAACGAATATTTTCATGACTTTGTGTTTGGATATTTCGAACCCCACCATGAACTAACTTATTTGGTGGTGGTTGATTTAATGGTTGTTTAAACTTTATTTTTAATGGTATATTTAAGTTTATTTTGGTTCTTTATTTGCTTTGCCTATGAATGCTTCACCATCTAGGCTTGTAAGAGGCATGGAAATGTCCATCTCTTAGATGAAGGTTAGGTATTCGGAAGAATCCTAAACTAAAAATACTTGTAAGTATTCGAAAGAAACGCAAGATAAGATCCTCATAAGCAATGGGTTATGGTATTTTCAAGGGGCTTTGAACCGGCCTAGGAATATTATAACTTAATCCCTTAGATCTCGGAAGAGACTAGGATAGGATTTCAACGACTAAAAAGGGTGTCTTTATCAATAGGGTAGGCTGTCCAACATCGTTGAGTGAGAGCAGATGCCTTGGCATCCTATTCTGTTAGGTTCTTTTGAACACCTTAGGAAAGCCCTGTCGAGTAAGTAAAGACAAGATAGCTTAAATATACTTGAGAAATAAGCTTAGCAACCTTAGATCAATCCTTACCATTCATTTCATTGGAAGCTTGTCACGTGAGGATTATTTTCTTCTTATTGTATTTATCTTTTTATTTACTGTCTTTACCATTTCTCATTGCCTCAACATTTCACCATACTCAACATTAAACATCCATCATTGCCACTTCATTTCCATTTGCTACACCATCACACCATCAATCCGCATCTACCAGCATACACATATCCTTTGCCGTGACATTTGTATATATCAAGACTAACTATACTTAGATAGAATATCGCATTGCTTTGGTTAGACTTTTGTGATTTCACCCAATCCCTATGGAGACGATACTCACTCATCATTATATTACTTGAGCGATTGTATATACTTGCACATTATTTGCGTATATTTTATAGTACTCACAACACGCGAACAAGTTTTTGGCGCCGTTGCCGAGGATTGGCAGCCTGAAGTTATTTAGTTTTGCCAGAGCATTTTATTTTGTTTTGCATTTTTTTTATTTTTGTATAGTCTACTTGATATTTTTGTTTTATTTTTCAGGTTTATTTAGTGTATGCCTAGAAGAAATTCTGAAGAGCCTTTGGAACCAATAGAACCTGAGATTGAAAGACTCTTTAGAAGAAGAAGACGTGCTCAAGGAAATATGTATCAGATTGGAAACCAAGGCATTGGTCAAGATGACGGAAATCAGAATACCACGGCATTAAACAATGCTGAACCTGCTATCAGGCCTCGTGTTATTCGAGATCATTTAAATCCGATGCTGGATGATCTGAATCCTGGGAATGTGGCACCCGAAATTCAAGCTGCACATTTCGAGCTGAAACCAGTCATGTTCAACATGTTGAATTCTATTGGGCAGTTTGGGGGTATGCCAACTGAAGATGCCAGGCAGCACATTCGCAATTTTCTGGAAGTTTGTTATTCTTTCCGCCAAGAAAGAGTGCATGAGGATTTTCTGAAATTAAAGTTTTTTCCGTATTCATTGCGTGACCGAGCAAGGGCTTGGTTGAGTGGTGTACCAGCCGGTTCGATGGAATCATGTGCGGATCTTTGCAAGAGTTTCTTATTAAGGTACAACCCACCAAACATGAATACGCAGCT